CAACATTTTTTTTTTCTTTTTTTGAGGTTCTGTTGATCTACATGAGACAGAGGTTGCATCAGCTGGTTCACTTTCCAGATGCTCTGAACAAGCAGGGTTTGCGTCAGGCCACAGGCAGGAACACTCTCCAGGTCCTTCCAGGGTTGGCAAGAAGCCGCCCCTTGCACACCGAGTCCTGCACACTGCCCCCCCAGGGTCTGCATGGGGAGGAAGTCGAGTGTGGCATGCAGGAACTCTGACACGGATGTGGGCATGTTAACCACCAAGGACCATCTGTTTCATCATTTTCAAGTGATATATATTACTAGCTGTGTGAATGTCCTCTTAACTTTTTTTTTTCTCTTCTCATTAGCAGTTTTTTAGTTCTTATGAGGTCTGTTTCTGCATTTAAGAACTTTATGGTTATCACTTCATTTTTTTTAGTAATTTATTATATGAAAGGAGGGGTTGGAAGGAAAAAATAAAAAAGACTCCCCAAATGACCACAAAAAACTAGAAGCCTGGAATCTCAGGATGGCAGGGGCCCAAGCACTGCGGCCATCTTCCCTTGCTTTTCCTGAAGCATTGGCAAGAAGTTGGATTGGTGGTGGGGCAGCAGGGAACTCCAAGTGGTGCCCACATGAGATGGCTGCTCCACAGACGGTGCCTCAACACACGGCACATCAGCCTCTACTTTGTGGTTTAAGAAACATGTTTGTGTTCACCACTAAAATCACTAAAACCACATTATGGTTTCCGTTTTTACATTTAGCTCCTGAATTTTGTGTGTAATATGATGTAGGAATTGAAGTTCATTTAAAAAAATGTAGATATTCCATTATACCAACAACTTTCACCGTGACTTTTCTGTCCCTATTGTTTTGATTTTTCTCTGGTTTTCCTTCTCCCCTGATGGATTTGTCTTTCACACTTGTTAGGAAGTTCCAACTTGAGAGTATTTACATTTTCTCCATCCTACCCCAAATTTACATTGCCATGTAAATTCAGAACCAGTCAGCAACTTTTTAAGGCTAGTTTTAACTGCTGAATTTATATTAACACTGTTGCTTTTCAGTTGTCTACCTCCCCTCACCAATTTCTAGATTTCAATATAAATATTTTGTCAAAAATATTCCTAAGTTGCTTTTTGAGACCATTGCTGACTGCGTTGTTCATATCTTCAACTGTTTATTCCTGGCATCCCAAGGCTCCTATGTAGATGTTTTCCAATCACGATACTGGCTTATTTTCTTCTTTCCTGGACCATGTTATTTGTTAATCTTCCAAAAGGATCATTTTTATCTTAACCCATTACACAGATGGGAAGCATATCACTGATTCTGACTTTATTTTTCTTAGGTGTGACTGGCTCTTCTGGAGTTTCTGTGAATAACTTCAGGCTACTGGCATTTTTAACCTTCCTTATTTTGATCCCACACATTGATGAGCATACACAGTTCTTGCTTTGCAGCTCAAAACACTTCCAAGTTTTTGCTTTTTGATCCCTGAATTTTTTAATGCTTAATTACAAAGTTGAATTTTTGTCATATTTTAAATTTCTCACTTAACTCTACTGTAATCAGTATTATGAATGACCGCAATATTTTCACCTCCTTATGAGGACCCAAAATATGGCCATATTGTTTCATGGATTCTTGAATGGAATTCTACATTTGTGCACATACACATAGGTCAAATTGATTTTAGAATTTCTAGTTGTACTTGTATGTGTCCATTCTTCCTGCTTCTGGACTATTCTAACATTATCCCATCACTGTGAAGGTTTTCTGCTACTGTTGCTGTTCTCTGTTTTATAACTATCAGTGTCTCCTCTTTGGGGACATACAGATTTAGTACTTCCTTTTTTTTTTTTTTAGATGAAAATATATATATATTAGGAAAGTCAGATATGCAACAAGGAGAACAAAAAGGAAGATCTTCCGTCTGTTGATTCATTCCCCAAGTGGCCGTAATGGCTAGAGCTGAGCTGATTCAAAGCAAGGGGCCAAGAGCCTCTTCCAGGTCTCCCACACAGATGCAGGGTCCCAAGGCTTTGGGCCATCCTCAACTGCTTCCCCAGGCCATAAGCAGGGACCTGGAAGGAAAGCAGGGCTGTCAGTATATGAATTACAATCCACATGGGATCTCAGGGCGTGCAAGGCAAGGACTTTAGTCATTAGACTACCACGCTGGGCTTAATACTATTTAAAAAAAAAAAAACTTGACATCAACCTTTCGACATCTTTAGTGTCCACCTCAGAATAACAGCAGGCCAGGCAAAAAGTTGATGTGCACCACAGACTTGAGTTGAAGTAAAAAGTGAGACTGCATGACAATATCTTAACCCTGGGTTCAAGTTTAGGATTAATCCAGTGCATTGAAATTATTCTGTAACCTACCTATAGCTTTGTGAAGACACAAGGACCATCCATATTCAAAACCCAGTTCTATTTTGCCGCATAGAGGCACCTACCTTGAGAGACCTCTTTCAATTATCTGATGGTTCAGAAAGTGTATGAATTCAGAGAATGTTGAGACCTTCTACCTTGCAATACTGAGAATTTAATTTTTTTCATTTGAAAGGATAAAATCTATCTAGTGAAGTTCCAATTATGGATTTCATAATGAACTCTACTTTTACTTCCTGGATCTATCAATTCCATTAATGGATGAATATCTTTTGTGAATCATAACTCAAGAGAAATGTCATTACTTTTCCAATGATATTTGTATCAGAAACAAGACAATGAACCCATTATGTTTGCATGCTTTGGTCATTTTGTGTAAAGCAATCGGAATTCTGGGGGAAAGGACAAAGATAATCAAAATGTACATGAATATTAAGACCAATCAGTGGGGAGTAGGACAAAGAATACAGCTATTTTAAGAGTGCATTGGATTGAGGAGATATAAAGAAGAATCAACAAACCTAAGAAAATTTTCCAAAGTATAAAAAGCAAGGTGATGAGGGTCACACTTAATGTGGCAAGCATACAAAGAGTTACTGACTTGAAGTACATTACATGGAGTATAACATCTTCTGATCTAATCTGGCTAAATTACTGCATTATTTGGAGGCAGGTATTTGGTCTGTTGCTAAGATGTCCACATCCCAACATTAGGGTATCATTCCTGGTTCTGGATCCTGAACCCAGTGTCCTGGTAATGCAGATCCTAAGAGACACACTTGAGTTCCTGCCAACAAGGAAGACGAGGCTTAGTTCTTGGCTTCTCTCTGTGTCCTAAAGGAGGATTCAGGAGCATCTGCATTATGTATATTTGAAGAGGAAACCAGTGGAAGAGCTCCTCCATTGAGTCTCAAAGAAATAAAAGAATAAAGTACAAATCCTCTTGCCATTAAAGAACAGAATTTCCAGCACATACAAGATGCATAAATAAGCCAATTAGTCCAAATTTGCATTGAAAGATTAAGCAAAGAAAAATCAAATTTACTCAAATAATCTAGGTTGCCCCAAGTCCAAAGTATACTTCAGGAGAGTTCAAGTTCTAAGAGTAAATCAGCAGAATTTCATAGATGTTACTCCACCCAATAACAAAGTCTCTGATTTCCTCCCTTACCACTCCTTTGTACAATCTCTGAATCTCAGAAATAAAAACGTCATAGCTTTAACACAAGGATGTTCATTAATAGCAGATGAGACCATTTCCAAGTCCCACGTGTGAGACCGTCATACAAAATCAAGTCACCTTTTTCTGTACTGCAAATTTTAAAACATCTTATCAGTTAAAAGGATGGTAGGATAGAAGAAGGGGAACAGAAAGAGGAGGGAAATGTCACTGTGTTCTTAGAACCATGGCTACAAATCATAGTCAATTTATTAAATACTAAAATCTAAAATTTTAAAAAAAAAACACACAACCACAGGTATATCAAATCAAAATCTCACTTGAAAATTGCAGAAAAACCTCCCAAACGTAAAACAAAAGGAATGTTAATACAAACTTACTCGAAAAGATTCATTTCAGTGATGCGAATATATCTCAGATGCTTCTTTTGGAAACACACATGAAGTACCATCAGTCCACATTCACAATTCTCTTAAAGCAGTTTACATATCCCACAGTCTTCCAAAATAACAGCAATTTTCAAAACCTTCAAATCTGTACCAAAAGACAAGAATTTGCTACACTGAAAAGTGTTCAAATGAATGTGAACCTAAAGGCATGAGAGTAATTCCAGAAGATTCAAACTTGGAGCTGTAGTCTCCCAAGTCAGTTATATGGAAGAACATATTTACTTTTTTTGAATGAAAAATAAAATCCAGATTATCATTTAAAAAAAAAAGGTTTACTTTTCTATTTTTATCAGAAAGGCAGATATACACACAGAAAATCTCCCACCCACGGATTGACTCCCCAAGTAGTCACAGCAGTCGGTGCTAAACTGACCCAAACCCAGGAGCCAAGAACTTCTTCAGGGTCTCTGATGTGGGTAGAGGGGTTTTCCCAGGCTATAATTAGGAAGCTGGATGGGAAGTGAAACAGCCAGGACCCAAATCATATGAGATCCTGCCGTATACAATGTGAGTACTTTAGCTACCAGGCTACTGTGTCAGGACCTCAGATTATCTTTTGTAATCATTATATTTTTAACTTCTATTGTAGATTTTTAATTCAAAAACTTTTCAGGAAAAACAAACACAAAAATTGAACATATTTGAGGAATGTCAATTGACACTGCATTTCACTGAACACCATCTTGGATTTTAGACCTAGGAATCATTGAATGTAATCTTATTTTTTTTTCATTTCCCCTTTTTTTCATTCAAATTACTTCAATTTCTAGTTTGTAAAAATAATACTTCCCAATTAGAGACTAAAAATCTTAAGTAAGTCCAATTTAACCCAGGTTTAAATGATAACTGAAGATTTGGTAAGGGAAGAAAAGCTTTGATTTTTAAAAATAACAAAGAATTCTAATTTGGGAGAAACCACTGAAGTGCTTATAAAATTGAAGGTACTCTCACACAGAAGCAAAACAAACTGTACACTGTTGGGTCTCCAAAAGGACTTTAATCACATTCCAGACAGAAATAAAATTTCTACATACAAATACACATCATTCAAATCACTTTTTAATATACATTCAGCAACTTAAAATATTATAAGGATCAAATATTTTCATCTTTTATAATCTCAATATATTATATATTTAATATATAATATATATACAATACATACAGGTAGTCAGCAGGATTACAAAGTAATTTTTTAGACATCTGATCAGTATTGATAAATATTTTTAGATCATTAATGGGAACTATTTAGGAAGGATAGAGGCCCCAATTTAACAGTAAGATGGCAATGTCCACATGGCCAATGACTTGTGAGGAACTCCCGGGTGGGGTGGAACACATTTTAAAATGATAGTCTTGCCACTCTGGAGTAACAGTACTTTTAGATATTCATCTATATCACCATTAAAATTCAAAAACTATGCAGCTTTCTTTACTGTAATATACAGTAGCTATCTCCTTCTTTCTGCTGGTGTTGACAGTTGTCACCCGAACAACTAAAATGCTACCAGCAGAAAGGACTCAGCTCCTTGCCCTCCCCTACTGCATGGCTCAGTTGAAGAGTGTCCTACAGGCAGCCACATGAGCATCAACAGTACCTTAACGCCAACAAGAGCAATGAATCAACAACTGTAGTCATTCAAGAAGTTTCAAAGACTGTTGGAAGTTTCTGTAAACCAAGGTAATCAGAAGTATTACCCTTGTACTTAGCCCTCACACATCAGGGAATATAAAGTTAAAATCCCAATGCCACAGTGTAACAGTTAACAATCTTTTCTGTGATTTTACATATTATAACATTAATTCACCCTGAGAATACAGAGGAAGCAGTTAAAACAGATATTCTGATATGCCTTTTCCTTTGTACTTGCTCTCTTCTGGTTTCTGCCAGCCCTTCAAGGGCATACATCCTTGGATTTGAAGTGTGAATTGGATATCCACTTCTGCTAACCGAGATTCACGCCACAGTCAGATACTGGTGGTAGAAAAGCCCAAAAAGGCTCGTGGAGAAGAGGCAAGCAGCGATCCACCACGTCAGGAAGGAGAGAAGTCCTCGGAAAAGCAGAGGAGTGAAAATGTGTTTGAAGCTGTTCAGTGCCACTGTGATCTGTGTGGCAGTCACCTTCATCTTTCCATCAGCAGTTGGTAACTCAGAGTAAACAGAATTAGAGGGTAGGCTGTTATCAACTGGCAAGGTAGACAAAGAGTCTGGATAAATCCCCCAGGAATGATTACCTAGAAAATGCAAGACACAAATAAAAGATGAAGCAGAACTACTTCCAAAGTTTATATATATATATGTGTATATGGGCTAAATTTGACATTAAGGAACAGGAAGTTCAGTGGCACAGTATATCATTTCACGTTGAAAATAAAGTAAAAATGACATTTCTACAATCAAGAAAATCACTCCTACTGTAATTAAACTGTGTAACAGCTTTCAATTAAGTGAAGTAAAATCTGGCACTATAATCAACAATTTTTTCCTTGTAAAAGATATGAGTCAAGTATTTCTATATGAGTGAAAGTGACAGACCCAATGACTTCCTGGAAATCGTCTACTTCTACAACATTAGGAATAAATTTCTTTCTCAGAAATCACCTTATGATTACAATATGAGAAACTATTAATAGCTTCCAGAAATTTTTTTTATCACAGATGTCCCTACATTGGACAGGATATTAGTCACATAATTTACAACTGAGCTGCCTACCCCTTTACCTTTCATGCATTTTAAAAGTGCATTTACACCTCTCCTCAGCCCTCCAGCATCTCCTCAGCCCACCCCAGCACTACTCTCAGCTTCTCCAACCTCTGTCTTGGCAGACTGCCTGGTCTCAGCAATGGGTCAGCGCCGTAATGAGAAGTCCTTGAGTAACCCGGTGTAGCCCACTGGAGAGCTGACTGAAGCTACCTGCAGATGATCCAGAGACTCTACCCTTTGAACACACATTATCTGAAACAGAAGTTAATATGGGAGTCTAAGAATGTATGTAAGTTTCTGAGTGCCTTGTAATAATTTAAATGTTCGGCACTAACAAAACCTCAAATGAAGCTTTTGTAATTAACACCAAAAGCATTCACTGAAGTTGCTGAGTAAATCTGGAAATTAACCTTTGAAAAAATTCCTGTAAGTAAAGCACACAGTTATAAAATCACTAGAGCCTAAGTTTAAAGTTATGATGATGCTCTTCAACCAAATTCCGCCAATAAAATTTCCATGCTTCCCCTTGAGACTGAGAAGGAAAGAAACAGTTTTAGGAGCCCTACTTTCTTCGAGGTAATGTGCAGGAAGGGGGTGCCAGCTGCCAGGGTGTGCCTACCTAGTGTTTTCAGAAGCAGGGTCGTGTGAAGCAGCATTGCCAGAGGTGCCACATACTGCAGTGCAATGACACAAAGGTAATAAAAGACTCGCGCCACCTGCAACCAACAACATTCTTAAGTATCTATTACAACAGCTGCCATGTCAGGAGTGAATTAAACTTCCATTTAACTGTCAAACTGACACGCTCAGAGATAAGCAAACCCTTTTATGGAAAGTAGAATAAAGGTTAGTAAGTTTACACTTCACCATAAACGGTCCCAAACCGACTTCTGAAAGTTTTCAATGTAGTTTCTAGAATATATCAAATACTAAAAAACAAACAATAAACTTAAGTTCTTAACTACCAATACAAATGATGTACATTCACTTACACTTCAAAAATAAAACAAAATGCTAAAATGTCTCAGGAAAGTTATCTAAAATCAGCAAAACAAATAACAGCAGGCATACTCGAGCAGTGTAGTGAACCTCTCACAAACAAAATGTCAAAATCCCCATTGCACATTGATTGATTTCTCTGAGGCCTGTAAGAGGACTACAAAGACATATGAAAAGCAAAATGGGGAAAAAAGGCTGCCGTCCTTCCACAGATGCTCCTGACTGTACGAGATAATTCAAACACGCAGGCTCCAGCACCCACTCTCGGTAAGACACGGGGCTTACAGGCTGCTGTGATGCTGGGGACATTCCTATCGTAGGGCCTCATGAGGCAAAACACATGCCATACACACAGTAATGCTATGGAAATGGGCTGGGCCACCAAACCAGTGTTTCCAACCCCTAAAACTACTAAGTGTAAACATCTGGAAAAGCTACGGGCTTTCATTGGCATTAGCAGGCACACTACAGACTGGTACAACGCAACTGAAAGCATCAGTTCAGTGAAGAGGAATTGAGAACCTTCCTTCATTCAGTACAGTTATTTTTGTAATAGCGTGTGCTACTTCTTATTCTGACTATGGAGTAAAACTTACCATTTTCTGTAGCTCCACTGTACTTATTCGTCCTGCTTCCTTCTTCATCTGATCCACACACTTCTGAGCTAAGTTGAGATATGCCTGGAGGTGACTACGCATCATGGCCAAGCGCAGGGCACACAGCAGGATGATTAACCAGAGGCGCAGAGTGTCAAACGTGGCTTCTGTCATTCTACAGATTAAAAAGTTGATATGATGCTCTCAAAGACCACAGTATGCTGGTTTGCTAGCTACATACTAATGTTCACCACAGAAGAAAAAAATTATACTTAGCTACAGCTGGAGGCACAAAACAATCTCATTCTATCACAAACATATATAACGCTTTCCTTTGTGTAACTGAACTGAATCAGTATCATGAAAATATCGCAAGTAACATAAAAAAAAGAAACAGCAGTACTTAAAGATCCATTACTGGGCCCAGTGCGGTGGCCTAGTGGCTAAGGTCCTCACCTTGAACGCCCCAGGATACCATATGGGCACCGGTTCTAATCCTAGCAGCTCCATTTCCCATCCAGCTCCCTGCTTGTGCCCTGGGAAAGCAGTCGAGGACAGCCCAAAGCCTTGGGACCCTGTACCCACATGGGAGACCTGGAGGAAGTTCCTGGCTCTGGACTGACACAGCACCGGCCGTTGCGCTCACTTGGGGAGTGAATAATCAGACAGATCTTCCTCTTTCTTTCTCCTCCTCTATACATAACTTTGTAATAAAGATAAATAAATCTTTAAAAAAATTAATAAACAAAAGAAAAGATCCATTATCTACCCTCCTTCATTGGGGGAAAAAGGCATGAAAACAGAAGCTAAGGGCTCTTAAAGTGAAGCTGAATGCAAAGAAGGAATCCACAGGACAGAAGTCCATGTCCATTTTTTATTAGCTACAATTTTACCTGACTGTTTACATATCTCAATGGGGTTTTTATTTTGCTGTCTAGTTAGGACTGACTGGCTTGGTTCTGAGAAATTTCTCAAAGTCAGGGCTAGGATGCCATGAGAAAAGGTGCCATTATGACAGTCTCAGAAGCTAGGCTACTGGTAAGGATTCTTTAAAGAACTTTAAAAGACCAATCTTCAATCCACCGGTTTGCTTCCCAACTGCTTAAAATGAACAGAGCTGAGCCAGATACATCAATGATCTCCAACATTCACCATTACAGGGGCCCGAGTGCTTGGGCCATGCTCTGCTGCCTCTGGCAGGGTATCAGCAAGGAGCTGGACTGGAGGTAGAACAACAGGAACACGAACCAGTGCCTGTGTCATATCTGAAAAGAACGGTTTCTGCTTTGATAAAGGCCACAGAGCTTTTTTGAAAATAATGACTGAACCATCCCTAGTATGTACACTAATCTCCAACACATGTCATGTACTTAACAAGACTTTTGGAATCAACGAATTCAACTGACAGAAAGGACCTGGCACCTAGAAATTCCTCCTGAAAGTCTGAGAAACATGAGGGCAGAACACACAGGTGCAAAGAACAAACGGGAAGAAATTTTTACAGTTTCATAACATATCTCCTCAATATAGGTTTCATTATCACCCAGTCCCTCCTGTGAAACAAACTAACGGTCCAAGACTTGCCAAGTTGCTTGGGGAATAATGTTTAGGAACATTGCAGGAAACAGAGTTAAAATACACAATTCCAACTGAACTGTAGGAAATGGAAGTCAAAGATGGGGACAGGATAAACCTGGGCTCTGCTTCTTTCTACAAGGTCATTAATGCACAGGGAAATACAAATCAAGAGAAAAATTCATTGGAAGGGAAGAACTGTAACATTTCATCAGTTCAATTCCACTGTAAGGAACAAGATTAAGAAGTCATTTATGTGAAAATAACAGAACACACGATGCAAGGCAATCCACAGCCCAGAGCCTCCCTGGCCTTGCAGCACAAAGAGAGCAGATAGGCAGCGTCTTGAAGACAGCTATTTCCCAGCCTGTGAGGCTATCAGGCCATGAATCAGAGCTTAGGATAATAATCATTGAACAGTACTCTGGGGCATGTAGGCCAGCTCATAATGCTAAGCTGCTGGGTGAAGTTAGCTCAGGCAGCAGTGTGCACTGCAGGAAAACACTCAGGGAAAGAGCTGCACTGAGATGACCTCGACGGTGGAGCATGCCATCCGGGGCCTGCCCGCACACAGCCCTTCTGGTTTCTCTTCATGTGCTCAGGGCACACACGGACTCTGTTCACCTACATTAAACAAAATTTTTTTTCACTGATACAGCATGAATGGATTTAAATATATTTCCAGGTTGGAATTGCATTATAACCCTTTCACCTCTGACTACAAATAAAGGTCTTTGCACAAATCAGTCTCTCTGTGACGGAAGAAGGACTGGTCACTTTGCTTCTCCTTCATCTGACTCCAACAGCTCTTCTTTCACAACTGACCACATGGGCTTTGGACCTCAAACAAAATCAAAAGTGACTTCTGGCTAATCACTTCATCATTAACTCACAATAAAAGAGCAGGATGCTGGAACTGTACTGGAACTGTTTATGAACTTGGTCAAAAGCGGAGATGGAAGAAAGAGGGCACAGGTGCATCGAAGTAGGCTCAGGCTGGAGCAGAAACACATATATTCTGTAAGATCCACCTGAGGGAAAAATCTGATGCCAGTTCCTGCTTGGCAAAGGATGCACCAGCAAGAAATCTGAATAAAGTGCAGTCAGGCTGAAAAGTAGAAAACGAATGCTGATGTAACCCCTTAATGTTTTACAAATGCCAAATCTGAAAAAATGTCTTAGTCACAAAATTTAAGTTATGAATCTGTTAATCTACCTACAAATGAGAGTTGGGACCAGTAACCACAAACTGGAAACTTCTGCAGGAATGAGATAAAAATATGTAAGGTACTAAGACATAGCATAATAAAGGTATAAAATGGATAGATCATAAATACTACTTTTTTTGTTGTTCCAATTAATCAGATAACTGAATCATAGAATATGAAATTGTTTCTAAGACAAATGTGCAGGAAAGATTGGGAATGGTTTCAGTATCAAAGGCATGAACTACAAGTATCTCTGAGATTTTATCTAGAATTGTAGAATCCCGAGTTTTATTTTTTTAAATTACTTGGAGAATCTAACATCTAAAAATACCATTATGAGGCCTAGTGTAATAGCCTAGTGGTTAAATCCCTGCTTGTCTATGCTGGGATCCCATATGGGCACTGACTCATCACTGCCTGCTCTACTTCCCTTCCAGCTCTCTGTTAGTGGCCTGAGAAAGCAGTATTGGATGGCCCAAAGCCTTGGGACCCTGCACCTGCACAGGAGACATGGAGGAAGGTCCTGCCTTGAACTGGCTCATTCTCAGCCATTGTTGCCATTTGGGGAGTGAACCAGTGGACTAAAGATCTCTGTTCTCCTTCTCTCTGTAAACCTGTCTAATAATAATAATAATTATAGATCGTTTTTTTAAAAAAGAATTCACTATTAAAAAAACTCCCGTCATATTCATTGCTGACTATCTACTCCAAGAGGAATTTTGCACCAATCTAGAAGTATGTAATATAAAAAACACAACATGGCATCAGCAACTAGTCAGGATTTTTCTATTTTTATTCTGAAGAGACAAAGCAGTGAAAGCAACATTCATTAAACACTTAATTCTAGCTTGTCCACTGAATTCCAAAGGTGATTTTGTGAGGTCAGTCCCACTACCTTCATAGTGCAGCGAGGGAGACAGAGTCCCAGCATGGTTACCTAATGATGTCAGGGAGAAGCTGAGCTGGAGCTGAGCTTTCTAGGACTCCAGAGTTACACAAAGCTAAAACAGTATGCACCATTTCAATACCTTTCACTAAGCTATTTGTTTTCCTATGGCTTCTTTCTGTTAAAATATAGTTGTATAAGTGGGTAAATATGAATTAGTATCAAACACTAAATTATAATGTCAAGGCATTGTTTTTCAACTTTATTTGGCGCAATGACAATACAATTATTGTGGAAAATGCTCTCATAAATTTTAGAGTTGAAAAGTATAATGCTTACAGGTAAAAATGTCATGTCTCCAGTTTATTAGAAAAATAATTCACCAGAAAACAAAGCCAAGTTGGCATCTAGCCTGGTAGGTTTGATGGCTAAGTCCCACATCGGAACACCAGGCCCCAACACCTGGCTCCAGCACCTGACTGTGTCCTGCAAATGAAGACCCAGAAAGCAGTGGTGATAGCTCAACAACGGAACAGTGCCCACCGAAGTGGGAGACTTGGGCTGGGCACGCAGCTTTGGGCATTAAGGGCATCTGGGGAGTGAACCAGTGGATGAGAGCTCTCTGTCTCTCAAAAAAGAAAAAAGAGCAAAGGAAGAAAAACTCAAAAAGGATGAAGCAATCTGAATGATGTTAACAAGTGTGAAGTATAGCGGCTGTCTTTATAGTACTGTCTCCTTTACAATTTCCATAGTAAAGTAGTAAGTACATAGGAGTAATTAGTGCAGGATATTCATTTATGAAGACCCCCAAAAGGATAAATGATAGTTTGTAGCTCCCATTTTATAGCATATTTTAACATTTCTATTAATTCTGAAAAATACAGTGCTTAATTTATCAATGAAAACTTAAATATAAGTAAATGACATTTAGGAGAACAGTTTGATTACATAATGAAACAAAAATTAGCCTGGGTACCCATACTTACAAAGGGATACTTTCTTTACCCAATGGTGGGTTCATAATGTAGTCTTTGGTGATTGGCTTTACCCAGAGCAGAACCATAAATAAAGGTGCCAAGAAGTTGATATGAAGTAATGTTCTGAAAGTAAGTAAGAAATAAATGTAAAAATCTAGAAATACAACACACTAACATTATAAAACCTGGGTGTTATTAAAACGAGTGGAAGACATTTCTAGTACTACTATCATACAACTTTGCATTTATTGTTACCGTTTAGCTCCAATTTTAGCCTTTGAGATACTACAGCATTACCTTGCTTTTTCAGATAAGCATGTTTAGATTTGAGCAAGTTAAATGACCTGATCATGGCTTAACAAGCTACAAGCAGACACAGGGCTGACATTGAGATGTGTTCACCTCTATTCTAGTGTATTCTTTAACAATCCTACACTACACCTGTGATTCATCAAGTAGGAACTTTAATCTTACACAGTCAATAAATCCAATGCCTTTTCAACACAGAGAGAACAGACACTGTTGAGAGTAAGCTGAAACAAGATGCCTGGCCATGACGCACAGGGAAGGGCTGGGCATCAGCCAGGGCCCTAGCCCCAGAGAGTACTAAACAACTGGGCCTGACCGCACCAACCGGTAACTGTGGAACCTGCTGACACTCGAGGTTCGCATATCCTGCTTAAGTTACACTGTTAACGTCACTGTCATTTCCTTTTGGTTGACTATGAACCAATGGAACTAATTTCCCTAGCTCACATAAATCAAGGGAATACACTTACATATATGACACAAGGAGTTTTTCAGGTGTGAGCACTAACTAATAATTGCTGTTCAAGTTTACGTCCCTCAAATATGTGGCTAGTAAAATTTTTCTTAAAAATGGCAAATTCTTCAGACTATTTAATTTCTGTAAACTACTGCCATCATCAGCCATACCAGACAGCTAAACAGGAGGGTTTAAAATACAGACACAACCATCTTAGAACACCAATACACAGGCAAATGACAGTGAACTGTGTGAGAAAATGGGGCTCGGTCAGGAGCCTGCGACCATCTGCCAGGGAGAGTTGGCACCTAGTTCTCGGCTCTGCTATGACAATGAGTGCGAGCGCCCAGCCATGGAGGGGATGAGTGTGCTGTTCTTTGTGCCAGTCATGTCACTGTCACACAGAACTAGCTTGCCCACACCCTTGTACCAAGGCAGGGTACAACACAATCAGGGCTGCAATGAGCCAAAAATAAAATAAAACCCCAAGTCCCTACTGGGGAAAAAAAAAAAGCCTCATTTTGCTAAAAAGGACACTAAACTGGGCACCCCCACCCCCGCCTTCCTAACCACCACTAAATGCTTTCCATGTTTTCATAAAGTGATCCTTTCATCCCCTCGCTGGGTGAGCGGCGGAGTGCGGGGAAGAAAGCCGCAGTATTAGGTATGCAGTGTTGCTAGGGAACACTCCAGTACCCAGGAGCAGCCCACAGCGGCTTCAGTAGCTTGTGAAGGGCTCCTCTCCACCCACCCTTTTCAGCTGATTTAAATCCTAACACTGGGGTTAGCGGGCTGAAGTGTACGTACAGAGGAGGGGAGAACCAGTTTTTGTCTTAAAAGAAGCCATTAAAGAGACGGTGGGTGGGAGCAAGGCAGTATACAGCCCAGAGCACGCTGAGTAAAGGAGTATACGCTGAGAAGCGAGAAAAGGGAAGCAGGTGCACGAAGCACAGGCACAAAAATGGAGGGAAGGTGGGAAAGACGACTGTCAGAATTAAACTACAAGAAAAGAAAACAGTGTGAGAGAGGAAACGTGAAAAGACCAGAGAACAGGCTTCGTTGCATCTAGGGTATTAAAGAGCAGGTATGCTAGGAAATATGGCCACTCAGGGAGACTTAATGAGCATGAATATATGGATCAACATGGAATACTGCCAAGTTGGGTTTCCACTGCAAAACAAAATGTTAAGATAGGAACATGGATCTGGCTACGAACTAAGCAGAAAGAATCCTGCCTTCCTGCCAAGGAAACAACAAGAATCTGTGCCAACCACAAGAATACAGGCAAAGACTCTGAACTCCATGTACAGATCTACTACGACTGGACCCGTCACTAAACTCACACAGAACCCGGGAGGGAGAAGCACAGGATTACATCACCAAAGCAAATATGCTTATTTTCATAATTTTAACAAATAGATTAATAACTTCAGCGAAAAATAATAGCTCATAAACAACTTTTACTTTGAAAACTATCTTAAATATTATAAATGAAAACACTAAAATAAATTTATGTAACATTTAAATCAATACTGCTGAATAAAATGATTCTATTTATTAAAAAAGAAATTACCAATGCTCCACATTTAAGTTGCAGAGATTACTGCATCACAAGCTTCTAAATGAATAAGAATCTAACATAAACACTGGTATTTCCACTTCAACAGACAGAATAATTTTAATAATTAAAGACATATTTTTTTTAAATCAAGACTTAAGTATAAGACTTGAATAGAAGAAATTATTCATAGTTGAAAGAGGAACTGTTGTAACATCAAATGGTTACTTATTACTTTTCATAATAATAATTTATGATTTTATTACAATAATATACCTTCATTAAGATGGAAAACATATATTTATCTGCATGTGCTTATGTACATTTTCCGCTTACTGTGTAATTTTTTCTGTTGCCAAATTCAGGGCATCCAGGTGCATTTGAGCCAGTCGCAATCCAGGAAATGTCAAAAAAGCCCCAATGAGTGAGCAGAACATAGCCAGGAAAAATTTGAAAGTAAGTTTTGAAACAGGACCCCTAAAAATAAAAATTTTTTAAAAGTTGATGAACTTTATGGTTAACTTTCTAGGAATTTTATTTCTACTGAATAGTCACCCAATAAATCACAGTGACTCTAAAAAGACTGCACTTAATTCAAGATCTTGGTCAACTGTAAGCTAAACAATGCACCTCATTAATCACAGTCCTAAAATCTCAATCTACTATTTCAACATAAAACTGATACATGACTTAAAAATCTAAATTTAGTTTACTCCCTGGAGGCAGAGAAATTGAGTAAGAGCAAATCTACATTAAGAATTCTATCAAAGATCTAACACCACCACTACAAAATTTCAAACAATGTTTCTATAAATGACAGCCCAACTTAAAAATAATTTGTTTTTACTTATTTAAGACAAATAATCCTTTAGCTTATTTTAATATAAATGCAAAATCAAAAACTTAAATATTATTTTTCAAAAACTTACTGAGATTCTACACCTTGTTTTTCAAGAAACTGCATCGCACTCTCTGAAAAATTTGTAAACCCTGCAAAGATAATGATAATCATTAACAAAGAGGTAAAACACAGAATCTTACCTAGGAAGATAAAATGCTAAAAATGCAGCATCTTAGATTTTGATGACTAGCATAGCTCTTTCATGTGTTAATTACTACGCCATAATGCAATGAAACTTGGTTATGAGCAGGAAGTCTTTGAAAGCTTGCCTTTGATACTTGCACATTCCATGAATGTGCATAAAATTTGCATTAATTCTCTATGTGAGTAAACTTTAACATTATCAAAACTTATTTGAGGAAAAAAAATGAGAGGACAATGTCTGAATAAAGGTTAACAAAAAGTTTCCTAAAACAAAAACCAAAAAGCAGACTATTTAAGACTAATGATGGTTAATTTAGCAGAACAATTTTTCTTAAAATTAAAAAATCCTTATGCATGCAGCTTTCTCAAACACTGACAAAAAATATCCACAGAAGATTTAAAAACTAGATTTAAAAAGCTAAATCTATTAACAAACAGATTTCAATAGATTACCTGTTTCAAGTCCGAATTCCAGATAGTTTTCTGTTACAATCAAAACTGCCATCGCTTTGACGAAGAAGAAAAAGCCAAAGGTGACACAAAGGGACCTCTCGCCGCCATCCTCGACTTTAAAATAGTGTGTAGTTAATGAAAATAGAACTTTGCTGCAGAAGGAAAGGTTGAGGAAAAACCACAAAGATCTTTGTGGGAGCTACACACAACTCTGCAGAGGAACCCTCACAAAATCGGACCCAGCTCTCTACGACCTGGCCAGCCGCCTCTCAAGAAGGAATTGACCAACAGGTGAATGTCTGAATACTTTCCTCTAACTAGGACATAAAAACAAGAGAATGTGACAGATGTTAAAGATTTCCAAGGCAAGGAACACCGTGCCCACAACAGGATGCAATCACACCACATTCTCATGGTCCTAGTTTCTTGAGAAGTTACAGGAAAAGCTAGGGCAGACGTCATTTTAGAAAGCTACCTTTGGGGGTGTATTTGTCAAAAACTTGACACAAACAGAAAGCAGGCTGCAAAGATCACCTGTCATCACCCAACAATGGAAATGAAAGAATTATCAGTAACTGCCTAATAATCACCGACCAACTGCGGTATACAGGGTGATCAGTTCACATGAAGACTGAACAAACACATCCAGAGCAAAGAAAGTTCCAGCTAAGTGCTTATAAACAGCTACAGTCAGCACTCGCACGGACTTGAAACCTACCAAGAGCTCATCTTACCTGAAATGTACCCTTACACTAATCCACAGCAAATAAACCAGAGCACAAGGGACAGAATTCGGCTCTCCGAGGCGAGATCAAACAAAGGCCAAGGAGGACCTCCTTCCAAACACCACAGTACCAGGGGTCAAGAGGTCAGCTTGGGCCCAGCTTCACTAAGCATCTCACAGAATCCTCAGTGACCACAACATTACCATGCTTTAGAGAATACACACACACACACACACACACACACACACACACACACACACACACACACAGAACTTTTAAAGAACAAAGAAACATGGCACTGAGAAGTAAAAACTTTAATTTAGGGTCCTGTGTTAACAGTGAAGTGGGTAAAGCCACTGGCTGCAGTGCCAGTATCCTTAATGGTCACAATCTCATATCCCGGCCGCACCTTTTCCAACTCAACTTCTTGCCAGCATGCTTGGGAAAAGGGCAGCAAAAGATAGCCTAGGCACTTGGGCCCATACATCCATGTGGGAGATGTGGAAGAGGCTCCAGGCTGCTGGGTCTGGCCTGGCACAGCCCTAGCTTTTGCAGCTTTAGGAAACGAGCAAGTGAGATGGAAGATCTTTCCATGTCATCTCTCTTCTCTGTAACTCTGCCTTTCAAATAAATACTTCATTAAAACAAAAACAAAAAAATCCCAAACCTGCACTCTAGGGACCCTGGATCCAGAATCTGCATGTCTGCTAGCTGATGATGTCACAGCAGCTGAACTACACGGATTTTGGCAGTACGATGTGGAATCTTAACCTAAAATTCTCTCGCATAAGCTAAATTTATCAGAAAAGTTTAAAATCCTATACCTCTCAAAAACAAACAGTAGTTCTCAACCTGAGTGTAAAGGAAGTAATGAACAAGAAATTCTCAAAGTATAACCTAACCTTTATTCGAAGTAAGAAACAAATAAGAAACAAAGTCGGAAGCTATTAATTCAGCTCATGCGTTAAAACAGAGCTGTCTTTTACATTTTAATCATTACTTTGCAGCTAAATGAGAAAAAAGTGAGAATCATATAAATTAAGAAATATAAACAAGAATCTTTAGTTAATAATCTTATTTAACTCTAGCTTTCTGACCTGAAATCTGAGTAAGATAGCAGCATGAATGTCACAAAAGACCTCTGAAAGATTACAATCATGCAACTTTCCAAGATAAAGTACCTTGCTTCACAGGAAATCATTCGATACATTTTCCCTCTCTCAGCACACCCGACATCTTTGGAAGCCTACTTCAGAGTTTAATATGGCATTTCTCTTATTAATCTGAAGTTGAACATTTTCATAAAGAATATAGTAACTTAAAACCTTCTAAGGGAATTGGAAATGGTGACTCATTGTGCTAGTTCACATTAACTGTTCATCTCCTACAGCAAACACAAGAACATTTAATTTGTAGACTTTAAAGTCTACATACAGAACTGAATACTAAGCCAGAAAACTTTGCCTTACTTTAAGTTATTCATGGTTTTAAACTCTGTAAAAAAATGTGTATGTTTGGCAACCAGCGCAAACTAAAATTTTAAAACACAGCCATAAAACATACACAATTGGTTTTAATACCTTAAACCATCTACTTTGTACAATATAAACATTGCACAAACACTGTATAAATATGTGACTGATTATCCAGTCTTTTGCCCAAATGTAACAGGACCACAGAGAAGCTTTATCCCTCTTTCTAGAACACTGTGTTTTAACATTCAAAGTTTTGCCTGCCCCAAAGGACCTTTTGCACATACCATTTTTATCTTCTTTATTCATACAATGACAGTGATAGGCATTGCATTCATAAACTCAGCAAACGTCATTGCCGTGTCTCTAAGACATCATTGACCACCTTGTAGGGAAGACAATGACTCAATCCTCTTTATCATCACTGTCAGGCTGTCTTCAATCTTTACTGATGCCACGTCATGTAATTTGGCAAAAATGGAATTGGCACAGACTTGCCCAAAGAAGGTGCTTAAAAATTACAAATGGCAAAGAGAAGAGCTGAGATTGAGTTTGGATTTAGGAACTGTTGACCAGAGTACTTGTGTGCAGGTCCTGGCTCCGCGCTCTCCTTTCCACCACCCTGCCAAAGGGTATCCTGGGAAGCAGAGGGAGGGGAGAAGTAGCGGGGTTTTTGCCAACCAAATGAAGTGAGTTCTGGACTGAGTTCTAGTTGTCCAGCTTTGGCATGCTCCAGTCTTGACTGTGTGCTTAAGTGAGGAGAACCAGCACACGGGACATTGCTGTCTCAAGAATAAATTTTTTTTTGAAAGCCTAATATTTGAAGGGCATAATAACTTACTAAAATATCTGGAAAGAAACATGAAAAATAGCTATCACTAATTATCAAGTTAAATATTTTTGGTGTGTTGCGTATGATTTGATAATCTATGGACTGATGTCCATTCTGAGTGCTATTTTCATATATTTAATTCTGCCTAACCAGACAGCATTTCAAATGCTTGAATTCAATACTGTCATCTTAGAATTCATGTAATATTCTCTAGTTGGAGATGTTTCTCACTGGTGTGCATGGTCAGTATTTCTACTCGATACACAAGACACTTAATGAAGATGTTGACTTAACAGCTTTATTCTGGTCCTTGCACCAGATAAAATGCCTTTAAAACTATCAGGGAGCTGGAAGGGAAGCGGGGCTGCCGGGACCAGAACCGGCGCCCATATGGGATCCCGGGCGTGCAAGGCGAGGACCCTTAACCACTTGCGCCACTGCGCCGGGCCCACCCGGAAGAGGCTCCTGGCTTCGGATCGGCATAGTATCGGCCCGTTGCGCTCACTTGGGGAGTGAATCATCGGACGGAAGATCTTCCTCTCTCTCTCTCCTCTCTGTATATCCGCCTTTCCAATAAAAAAAAAATAATAAAAAAAATAAATCTTTAAAAAAAAAAAAAACTATCAGGGAAATTATTTGTATTTCTTTGAATTTTGCATCTGTTTTGTCTCTCTGTACGTATTATATCAATTCAACTGCAAGCTCATGTGTGCCTGTGTGTGTCCGTAAACATCAGTGTGTCTGGAAGCATCCCTGGCATATTGTCTCTGGTGTCCTAAAGAGGTCTCTGGCCAGACTACCTACCTGCTGAAGAGCTGTACTACTGGACGCCCCCATCATCATCTTCCCAGGGCTTCTTCTGGCCTCACTGTCCCCCCAGACCTCTGCTTCCTCTTCCTTAAGCAGTCTGTGTCTTCCTCCCTCTTGGGTTACTTCCTCATTTTGCTGGAAATCACTTACCGCCTGCTCACACTGGTCCTCCAATATCAACTTTAGGCAAGCATATTTTCTTAAGACCTTGCATTTCTGAAAACATTTTTTCCTAGTGTATAAATTAACTGACCATATAAGAATGTAATTAAAATTCATTATTTTTAATCTGCAGAAATACAGTATTAGTTCTCCATTACAGAACTCCAAGGAAACAGAGCTCCAGTGTAAGACTGGCATCTTTCTGTATAACTTCAGAAACGATTCACCTTTATCACTTCAAAAATGTTTTCAGGTGCATAAAGCAGCTTTCAGTAAAGGAAAAGTTCTCTAATGACCTAAAATCACTTTCAAACCACAGAGAGCTCTAACAGTTGTTAGTTGCAAAAGGAAAACGCATTCCGAAATCAACCCTCATGATGTTTTGAAGGATACATTGCAAAAGACAAAACAAGCAGGCACCAGACTAAGCTGATATTCATCTCCTGCGCAGGCTTCATCAGACTGTAATAGACTTCAGTAATCACATACACCACGGTGGCGGCCACTGTGAAATCCACCAGCCACTGGTATTCTGGAAAGTAGTGCAACGCTGAAAAAGTAAGATTTTTAAAAAAGAAGTTGTACTTAAATATTCATAAACAACTTAATGAGGATTTATGCATAATATTATGTTAGACTATTTCTTGGTTTACAATAGAAAGTTGATGAGAAATTAATAATATAAGAAGTAGATCAAGAATGTTAGCATTCAAATGAACTTTCATTATCTCATACATAAGATTCGAATGATTACTCAAAATTATTTAACCTGTCAGAATACAATTTCAAATATGTAGATGCTTTAACTAAATTGATAACTTTTGTTGGATGAGGATCCAGCTATGATATTGTGATGTTAGAATTTAACTTGATCTTGGAAACAGACATGCTTACATCACTTCTCTGTGACATTACGAGTTAGTGTAAGCATTAACTAGTGAAGGATTAATAACTGCATACTGCTCACGTAATCTTGTTACTTATTTAGTAACACATATCCTTTTTATTCCTGCTTCTGTCATGTAAGAAAAGCTGAAGCAATGTTACTGGCTTTCCAAAGAACTACATTTCCTTCAATTAACTATTTTCAAGAGCTGATACTTAACAGTCTCTGAAAATAAAAACAATCCATCACATTTTGATTTTCAGTGCTTTAAATTTTTTATAAGGTAAAGATATTCCAGCGTACTTCTAACAGAGCATGAAGGTAGTCCAATATTTCAACATCAGTTTTTAGAAAAACTCCAAAAAATATAAGTAAACACCAATTTATACCCTTCTACTGGTACATAATAAAATGATCTATATTGTTTTCAAAAAGTTTTAGCTGCACAATATAGTAACAAACATGATGATAAAAATCTTTACAAAGGAGTATTTTAAAAATGAAATGACTCTTAAAGACCTATTAAAATATCAAAACAAACCAACCAAAATTCATAATTGAAATCAGGATCACTGTAGTACATAGCTTAATGATTACATGGTTTCACTTTGAAAATTCTAAATATACATGTAAATGCAATTTTTCAAGTGATGTAAGACAGGCTAGTATTGAAATAAAAAAGAATGATAAAAGTTGAGAAAATCAGAACTGTGATCTCAGCTTTGTAAACAGAAACTGCAGCTTGAGGATTGTGCACAGACCACAAGCTCGAGTAGTTACCCTCCCTCCGAAAAGTGTGGGAAAAGTTAGATGAAGCAGAGAAGAAATTTAATTCAAATGAAAGCACTTTGAGATTATAAATTAGTAAACATATTTCATATTCTGTAAACTGACTTAACAATTAGAGAAACATATAAAAGAATCTAGCCATGAAAATATTCTTACTGTCATAAAATTAAGATTTGCCGAGATTTCCCTTACCTAAAGTATCCACTTCTGTAACTGACTTTGTTTCTAAATGCAGGTCAATATCCTTGGGAATGGTCAGTGGTTTACTTTCAATGTGACCATTGTATTTCCTATAAAAACCAACAAAGGAACAACAAGAGCAAGTACAGTGTTATCCAAAAGTTCACATCAAATTAATATAAATTAGACTCGAAATTTCTCAGTGAAAAAGAGAATCAGATTTTCTAATAATTCATCAAAAAGGACTCACTCAAAACATTTTTAAAAGGGAATGGCAAAATGTACATGCGAATTATTATCTGATTATGAAGCTCACTGGGAGAACCTAGCTAACTAAATTAGAAGTTACCTAATGAATAAATAATTACCTGATAATTGTTATAACACTTAGGCTGCAAACCTAGCATTTCACATATTTCCTCCTACTCTCACATAGTTTTAAGACAACACCTCTTTCTGTAGCCACAGAGGAAAACAAATGAAGGCCACATATATTTGCATATATTTAGTATACGCAGACACAGACGCGTGCACAAATACTCAAGTATACAGAAATACATCTGTATATATTAAGTCAAAATTGAAGAAATTCATTAAAATTCACATACATGAACAATCTAGAAGTATGAAGGCCAAGTTTTGCTTTTACTGAAACTCTTATAAGGGAAAAATAAAGGAATTTTTCACACCCATTTGTATCATTACCAATTTAATTTTTAAAGACATACAAATTAGAATATAAAACTGTAAAATAAAATAACATTAATTCAACACTATGATGCAATTCTGCACTTACTCTTAATTAAATATCAATTGGGGAAACATCAGTATAAGCATGTCCACAAGTTGGACAGTAAATGTTGCTACTGGGAACAAGATGGCATCAGCAGCACATCCTATTGCACATGCATGACAGGTACAACACAAACACTACTGTAAATGAGCAAAACTATAATTTTTAATGTATTTAAGAATCAAAACGCTTACAAAAGGAGTGTCATACTAAATAAAACCAAATTTTACAAATGTTAGACATGACAGCAGTAAAAAGCAAAGATAAAATAGTTTAAAAAAAAAACAGAAATTAAAACCAAAGCTGAATTAAAATTCTAGTCCTTCAATTATTATGTGAATTTGCAACTCACCATCTCTGATCAACAGCTTATGGTTTAACAAATTAAATTACTAGGTAATACTCAGGGCTGTTGTGTGGACTGAGTGTATGTGCAAAAATGATTGGGAAACTATAATTTTCAGCAGGAGTTATTCAGTTAAAAAATTCTGCTAAAATAAAGGAATCAATACTTTAATGGAAATTCACAGTGTATTCATAGCAAGTGAAAGAGTGACAATTAGAAAAGATGATCTTCCCAATTTTTCAATTTCATGCCAAATAATCATTTGTTTCAAAGAATTTTTTTTAGTACCTACAAATATATTAAGCCAGGTGAACATAATTTTTATGATACACATGGAAAGTGTGCTGACAATTTGTAGCCCTTAACGTTTTATGTCACTCTAGAACGAAGATGTTTAGGCAGAGAACACCTACGAATTCCTTCCGGATCCCAGTAGGGATGCAAAACAGCTGGCAACAGACACTTCCCTCAAGAACCAATGTCAACTGAGAAGTGTTAAGGCTGGATCGATTCTTGAAAACATCTCCACAGAGTCTCATTTCCCAGCTGAGGTTCCTGGGTCCACCCAAGAACGCAGTTCTCTTTGAAAATTCACATCAGCAACAGAATATTCAGGACTAAGTGGGAACTCTCAATACTGTGTATACAGCCCGCATCTTTTATTTTAAATCAGAGGCCAAAAGCAGGTCAATTTGCCCCCAACAACAGTAAGACAGCAAAACTCAAAAAGTAATCCAATCCAACCGACTTTTTCAAGTGAATTCTGTCAAGGTTCTACTCTTTTAAAGAAAATATTTATTTTTATTTTAAAGACAGAGATATCGTCCACACTCTAGTTCATTCCCCGAATGGCTGCAGTAGCCAGAGCTGAATAAATCTGAAGCCAGGAGTCAGGACTCCTTCAGGATCTCCCACATGGGTATAGGGGTCCAAGCACTCCTCTGCTTCTCCCCCAGGCCATAAGTAGAGAGGCAGAGCAGATGTGAAGCAGCCAGGACTCCAATGGGGTCCAAACTGGATGTTAGCAGTTCAGGTGGAAGCTTAGTCTACACGCTATGGCACCTCTACTAAATTTTCTTTATAATAGCCATACCATTTTCATCATTAAAACACAGAATAAGGGTAACCATTGTGAGGAAACTAACCACCGTTTCACACCTGCATATTATTAGCTACTGGATTTTCATGAGTTTTTAATTTCAAATTTATTGTTTATGACATACTTGGCAAATGATGCTTTTACCAAGGCACAGAACCATATGTACATTAACTGGATTAACATTTTGCATTTTCTAAATACAACATTATAACTTACCTGTCTTTCTTGCTTTTCCCTCTTTGCTGCTTCCCTGCCAGAATTCTTAACTCCTCTTCTGTAGGATGCTGATACCACCTCAGACTAAGGGGTGAAAAAAAAACCAAACACCTTCTAAACAAAGCACTTAACATCTCCAGGATTATTCATTATTGTATACACAGTTACTGAGTCCCCTATTTGTGACAACACTGTAGGGAAACAGTAAGTGAAAAACTGTAATGCAAACTAGTTATTGCTGTACCACAAAAGGCTTCACCCCAGCAAACACCAAGCACCTGCTGGATGCCAGACTCTGCCTGGCTGTCGGCACAGCCTTGCAAGCAACGTTGTATCAACACGCACTAAGATCACACAGGACTCACTAGTAAGGTGCATCAGGTGCCACCTGCAACAAGCAGGCAGGGGCACACTCACCCTCACCTGAAGGGACTGGCGGTGACCTAAGAGTTGCTGCAATGCTCTCACTGTCACACAATCTTTCACTTCTCTTTCCATTTAGTTGGAGAATTCCCAAACTGTGTGTATCTAAGAGTAAGAGAATTATAAAATTCTTTCCTCTTGGCTGTATCTACACTTCTTTATGTAAGGCCTCAGCAAAATCTGACCATATTCAATTTCACACCACATACCCAAAACAAATCACATACTCCTTTTGGAACAAGACTGGACTCATTCCGGATTGCACGTCTCACCTTGTAGTTCCACTATCTACCAGTCACTTAAATTTGATACTCAAATCTTGTCTTCCATGTGCTTTTCCCACACTACCATCCATCCGGGGCTGCCATTCCTAAAACGTGAGAGTGCCTGCTTAGGCTTCAGCTCTGCCCACCCTCCTCGGCAGCTCTGGCCTCTACACACACTGTCTTAGCAGCCTCCCTGTTTTCCTCTGGGAACGCTTGCCACCAAATCTATCAAGCCCACTGTCAGTTATTTTTTCATAATTGAAATCCTACCAAGGCACACACCTGGTTAAATCTTTTCCAATGCTCCTTACAGAAGAAAGCAATGGGAAAGGCAGCAAGGCAAGTCCAACTGCTGCTGCTACAAAGGGAGAAACAGATCGAAGCAGTGCTACATTTTTAATACAATATCACAAATTCTTAAAAAAATTAGAAACTAGAATTCTATTCTTGAAAACTATAAAGAATTAGAAATTTGAGTACAGACCGGATATTTGATTACACTAAGCACTTATTATACATTCTTAGCTCTAATAATGAAATTGTGGTCAGGTTTTTTTCCAGCCCATATACTTCAGAGATACAGAATGCAAATCTATGAATACAATAATGTGTTTGATATCTACTACAAATATGCTATGGGGAAGAGAGTTGAAAGGGAGTATATCTGTATATCTGAAAGAAATTTGGCTACCAGCTACTAACTGTGATAGGTACACACAAGAATTCCTCATTTTTTATCTCTTCTGTAAGGCTGGAAATTTTCTTAGAAACACACAACAAGGCCCAGTGTGTACAGTTTGTGACACCTGCTCCCACAGCTCATGACCTGACCCATCTCCTCCTCTTCCCTATTGGAATGTGACACATTCTAGCCTGACTAAATGACATTTATTCCACACAGATCCTTTCATTTTTGGTACTTCTGCATATACCTTTTTTTTCTGCTAGTGAACCCCCTACCTGACAAATACTTATCTTTTTTGTTTGCTTATTTGTTTAAAGGCAGTCTGCTTTTGGTACAGTAAAAACCTGAAGAATCTTCATGAAGTTTGTGGAAAATGCAGGTTAAAATAAACTGTGCATACATTTTAACATTGTTTTTTCTCACCAATATCAATCCTGCAATATTTCTGAATGGGATCTGGTTGCAGGCATCAAGAATACTAATTTCAAAAGAGACTGTATCAGAGCAACATGAATTCCAATAACATCGAAGAATAAGCATCAAATTTATGATGAAGTTTGGATGGAAGAGCAGTGAAATCAATGATGCTTTAGCGTAAGTTTATAGGGACAATGCCCCAAATAAATCAAGCTTACAAATGGGTAACTTGTTTTAGGAAGGCAATGTTGAAGCCCACAGTGACAGATGTCTATATCACACTGCGAGGAAAAAAATTAACGTTGCTCATACCCTGTGTGAAGAGAAGTAGGGTTAACAGCAGAAGCAATAACCAACACCACAGACATTTTAAATGATTTAAATCACATCACAATGACTCAAAAACTAAGTGGAGCAAATTTTCTGCCATATGGTTGCCAAAATTGTCGTGCCCAGAACAGCCAGACAGAAAATATCAGCGTTTCCTGGGGAAATTTTAAACAAGTACGATTAGGTCCTGAAATATTTCTTCCAGTGTGATCCTGAAGACAAAGTGCAAACCAAACAATGGTTACCAAGAGGAGGAAGGCGTCCAGTGTTCAAAGCCAAAGTCATGACAAGCTGTGGGGAATGGCCAAGGCATTTCACTGACTTTCTGCAGGCTCAAAGAATGATAAATCTGATTGTTAGACAAGTGTTCTGGGGAAAGTCAGCTGATGTTTTCACAGAAAACACATCTTGGAAGATTTCAGCAGAGTTTTTTTTTAAATTTTTTCCATTTTTAAAGTCATATTTTTGACAATCTTTACATAGTTAATTGGGGTAAAAAGGTCCAAGGGCTACAGTAGAGTGGGTAAGAGCAGAGTTCTTCTATCACAATGGTCCTGTTTGTTTCTTTCAGCAAGCAAGGCTAATCCTACTAGAATTGAAACAGGAAATAACTAGGCATCCACCTCACAGCTCTGAGTCCTGTCTTCTTTTTGTTTAAAAAAAACCCTAGATGGGTTAACTCTTAGTTCTTTAGTGGTAGACTAAATGGCTGGTATCATTAACTACAAAGTGTGTTAAACTGGATGGAACTTATTCTGAAAAACTGCTTGTACTTCTTCATTTCTACAATTTAATCCCATTTCCATAAAATTTTAGAAGTCCCTTTGGTATCTACTTTTCGCTCCCAGATCCTTGCATGGAGCTCCGGAGTCCTCTGAATAATCAGAATGACACGGTTTTCTTCATTATGTTGCTGCGTGTGCTCATCGCTCTACCCTGAAACCCACCCCACTCCAGGACAGGGGCTCAGCACCACAAACAAAGGCACAGAGTCGGACCCTTCTGCCACCCAACTTCAAGGGAGAGGAGACGAACTGGAAAGAAAGTTTAATTACTTATATCAGTGATATGAAATCATATCTATGTAATGGAACTCCTTATTACCCCTCTGGACACCACAGTTCAGAGAAGCTTCCGGGCTGATCAACACACTGATGTGCCGAGGATGAACTCTAATTCCATGGGAAAGGGGTGTGGAAATTCTGTGCTCCTCCCAGAGCTTACCTCATGTATTTTCTTTACAATGAGACTATAAAGTTAGGTGTTCTCTGAGTTCTGTGAATCGTCTAGAAAACGAGTGAATGTAATGTCATGGTGACCGACCACCTGAATCTGTTGTCCCCTATGCCCCAGTACTCTAGAACTCGTGGCTGGTGGCCAAGACAGGGCAGCATTAAGGATCCTGTGCTAACTTTGGGTAGTTCAGCATCCCAGGTGTCAGACCATGTAAACTGAAACAGAATGGCACCCTAACCTAGGATTTTAGGACATCCTGGTTCTGTGGACTTCAAGGCTGGTACAGTTACTGGCATACAGTAAGTGCTCAAAAAGGATCACTGAAGCCAAATAATTCAGTTCTCAGTCTAATGGTCTTAAAGTAAAATATGTAACCCACCCATAAAGTCCTTAAATTACAATTAACAAAGGAGGAAGAACTTCCTGAAATTTCTAGAGTCCAGAATTTGACTTACAGTCACGGCTCATTATTCGTGGTAGTTAGGTCTACAAAGTCGCAGTGAACGGAGCCCTGCTCCTACAGGAAATACAGGGTTAGGTTCCTGGGAGCCTTTGGTCACAACATTTTCATATATTGGTCAATACATAAGCTCGTTCAATGTGTGCTTCCGTTTAAAGACACCTTATTTTACATCCACTGTTAACACTGAATTCATACCAATAATGTTTCCTCATGCCTGAAAAGTTATCAAATGAGTATAATCATTAAACCAGCATTTTTCTGAGTTCCTTGAATTTCCTCAGCAATTTCTTTTTGCATGGCACATCACATCTTTGTGTTGTGGACTACAACCCAGTAACTCAGCACTGTGATTTAAGGTCAGTTTAATCAAAGAGATCACCACCAACAAACAAGAGATGAGAAGAAACACAGCCAAGATGGATCCTGTTTCCATCTCAAGTTCTGGTAGGAAAGCAGCGTGGCCTTATCTGACAGCATCTGGGAACACGGAGACAGGACCACCCCAATTTGTCAGCACCTCGGTTATGTCCATGGATGACCAGAAAAGCTGGTTCCAAACAGATAACAAATACACAAACTGCAAATACAGAATCCACAAATGTATATTTTTAAATCCACATTTAAAAGAATACTTAAGCAGGAAGTAATTTACAACAACTAAAACTAGTTGCTGCTCAGCATTGACAAATAATAATCAGTGAAAATCAGTGAAAGAATTGTTAGTGTGAGAAAACTTAGGCTAGCTTAGAGTCTTTTAAAAAAGAAATACGTTAAGACTCATTTTCTAAGAGCTATTTTTAAAAAATCAACTTCAATATTACTTTGCAAGCCCATTTTTCTAAACTGGATTACATTTGCTATAGCTCTAATGGGTAACCCAGGGTCATCTTCATTAGTAAAAATGACCATTCAAAGCTGAAATCCAAGGATGTTAGATGCTTTGAGGACCACTTACATCTAGTCTCTTACTCATTTGTTCTCTCTTGCATTCATTCACTCACCCCTTACAGAGAGCAGAGTTCAGACACTCGAATACACAACAGAGAGAGAATTATCCCAGTAAAGCCAGATGGGGTAGAATTTAACCAACAACAACTAAAAGACAGTATAAGCTGTGATATTATATGAAAGAATAAGTAAGTGATGAAAATATAGACTGGGGAGAACCTAAAGACTGCACAAAATGCAAGAAGGAGGATAGAAATTCTAGGGAGGGAACGGCATCTCTAAAAGCCCCAAGGCCAGGAAGAACAGAATACTGCAG